AAGTTCTCGACCAAACATCAACTTTGCTGGAGCGTATCCAGTGGCTTCATGCTCTGCTGTTCTATAGGCCATCAACAGTGGAGGGCGTAAGACATCCAAGTCATCTTGGCGGCTATTACAAAAACTTTGCCAATTCCTGTCCAATTGTACTTTTCTACCATCCAATCAGACTGTGGGTGAAGTGGCGCTGTCCTGGTCTTTCGTATGCCAAACAACTTGCAGCATTCATGGAACACAGCTGATTCAAAGTTACGACCTTGATCCGAATGCAGTTCGTATGGCATACCAAATCTGAAGAAGAAATCACTAATAGCCAAAGCTACAGTTATAGCTTCCTGATTTGGTATTGGATATATTGGATATCACCACACAAATGTACTTGTTTCCAGCACGAGTTTGGGGCAAACTACCAGCAATGTTAACAGCTACTTTTTCCATTGGTGCACCAACTTGATATAACTTCATTGGAGCACGTCCCTTATGCTTGGTTCCCCTTTTAGCAGAACATGTACTGCAGGTCTTGCACCATTCTTCCACATCTTGCCTCATACCTATCCAGTAAAATCTCTGTCTTAGGTGACTCAATGTCTTCTTAACTCCGAGATGTCCTCCTGTTAAACTATCATGGGATTGATGCAGCACAACTTCTCGTAACTTTCTAGGTATAACTGTTTGCCAGGTCGTTACTGTCCCATCTGCAGTTTCCCATCTCTGGACAATAATACCATCTTCAAGCTTCAACTGGTCCCATTGTGCCTAATAGTTCTTTGTCACAGGGCTTAAGCTAGACACCTTCTCCCAAGCAGGACGCAAAACACTTGCTTTTAAAAAAATCAATTATTGGCTTGAAATCTTGGTCTTTTTTCTGCTCTGCTTTAATATTTATACCTGGTTCCACTTCACCATCATTAATTCCTTCAATCACTTTGGCTTCAGCTTGATGACACCTGGTTAGCTCAACTTCTCGTTTGCAGCAATGTCTGCAGTAATTTTTGCAGAGAATTTGGCTTAGTCCATCGGCATTTCCATGAGATTTTCCTTCTCTGTATTCAATATCATAATTATACTGGTCTATTTTTCCGATCCAACGTGCAAGTTGTCCCTCTGGGTTCTTTAATGATCTTAACCAGCGTAATGCAGCATGGTCTGTACTGATGGTAAACCTGGCACCATAGAGGTAAGGATAGAAATATGTCAGATTGTTTACTATAGCAAGGAGTTACCTCCATGTTACACAATAGTTCCTCTTTGGTCTACTCATGACCACCACATGTTCGTTTTCGCCCACTTTCTGAGACAACACTTTTCCACTTCCAATATTACTAGCATCACAATCCAGTATGTAAGCCAGTGAGGGATTTGTCTTGAAAGCATGCTGGCAAGAAACTGTCTATTCGAACTTCTGGCCCTTTTTTGTTAAATCATGTAGTGGAGCAGCTATAGTTGCAAAGTCCTTCACAGACTTCTGGTAATAGGTACAGAGTCCCAAGGAACTTCTTAGCTCTCCCACATTGTCTGGTGTTGGCCAATCATGCAATGCTTTCACCTTGTCAGGATCAGTTCACACACCATACTCACTTACAATGTGACCCAAGTAAAGCACCTCTTTCTGGAACAAGTAGCATTTCTTGGGATGGAGTTTGAGGTTTGCTGCTTTCAAATGCTTGAATACTTCTTCTAGCCGGGACATTTCCTCATCAAATGTTGCTACAAACACGATGACACCATCCAGGTACACTAGGGCTATCCTCCATTGTAGGCCTTCCAGTACTCTTTCCATCAGCCTCTCAAATGTTGCTGAAGCATTGCTAAGCCCGAATGGCATCACACAGTATTGCCAGAGACCCTGGTCATAACTAAATGCAGTCTTAGGTTTATCTGCTTCAGCCATTTTCACTTGATGGAAACCCGATTTTAAGTCTAGAGTTGAAAACCACCTGGCCTCCACTTAGGGCATCAAGAGTATCATCAATTCTTGACAGCAGGTATGAGTCCTTTTAAGTTATACTCTTAAGAGCCCTGGACTCCACACAGCAACGTTGGGTCCCATCCTTCTTCTGGACTAACACGACGGGAGCTGACCAGGGACTATTTGATTTCTCGACTATCCCTTCCTTAGTTAGGCCATCCATGACCTTCTCCATCTCTTCTCGCTTTGCCAGAGCTATTCTTCTTGGAGGGATATTTATTGGACGATGATTGCCTGTGTTCATTCTGTGCCCCACAAGGTCTGTGCAGCCGAGGTCATAATCTCCTTTTGAAAAGACGTCTGCATAATTCGCCAAGAGTTCTCTAACCTGAAGATCATGTGATGATCACAAATGGATAGGAAGTCCTTTCTTTATGATCGCATTTCTTGCTTTAACATTGACTGGCTCTACCTCCTGGCATACACCCAACAATGCCCCTTCCTTAAGTGTCTGCTCACATTTATAGAAATTAGCCACTGTTATGGATACTACTTGATGACCTGCC